AAAAAAAAAAAAAAAAAGACTGTAAACAAAAATGCCTATAATGAAGAGGAGAATAAAAGGAAAGGTACCTCCAGGTAGGGTACTCCTTTCTCAAAGGATTGTGGGTATTCGCGGAGCGGCCTCTCTTCCTCCAGGAACTTGGCATCGTGCCCGTCAGTAGCAGGTTGGAAAAGGCCATAGTTTAATACATCCCTTAGAGATTCGGTTAGACTACACAGCACCTGCTGCTTTGCCTTCCATACGGTTGCATCAGGGTTGAACCTCAGACACTTCTACAAAAACAGAGAGAGAAAAAAATGGCTGTTAGATAAACAAAACGATTATACATATATTATATTATATTATAAAGTAACACTTTAGCATAGGGAACAATTCTCACTATTAACTACTTGCTTATTAGCATGCCTATTATTAACATATTGGCTATTTATTAGTACTAATAATAAAGCACATATTCTGCATGACCATATTCTACATCCCTAATCCTACACAATACCCAAACTTAACAACTAATAAGCAGCAAAATACGAGTTAATTGAGGCAAAAGTCAGTTAATGGTTTGTTAATAGCGAGAATTGGACCTTAAAATAATGTGTGACCAAATATTATATTGTAATATTACATTTCAGATATTTATAATATTTATGTTTTTTGTGTGTGTTTTATTTATATTATAGACACTAACATTCCAAGCTTTGGGGTTGGTAAGATGTTTTTTTATGTTCTTGAAAGAAGTTTGAAATAAATGTTTTCTGCTCACCAAGGCTGCATTTATTTAATCATAAATACAGTAAAACTAGCAATATTGTGAAACATTATTACAAGTTAAAATAACAGTTTTTTGTTTTTCTCTTTTATCAAATGTAGTTCATTCCTGTGATGGCAAAGCTGAAGTTTCAGCATCATTACTCCAGTCTTCAGTGTCACATGATCCTTCAGAAATCATATAATATGCTGATTTGCAGCTCAAGAAACATTTTATATTATTTTTCAAACGTATTATTAACAGTTTCGCTGCATATAAAAATGATAGTTTATTTGAATAAAAAAAAAAGGCACCAAACAATTGAACAGTAGTGTGCATTATATTTTTGATTATATTTATTAAAATCAATTTTTCATATATTTTACAAAAAATATACATGCTTAATTTAATTGTATTTGTTAATAACTACCAAACAATTATTATTACTATGAGTGACTATTTATCCCTATTTACCCTAAAGAGACAAAAAAAAATGCAGTTCTGTCCGATGTGCACTAGAGGGAGACGTTGTGATTCACTGAGGTGAAACATAACCGCTTTCGGATTTGCAGACCCCTGACCGGTGTTGTGCCCATTTTCGACCCCCTTGCAAATTATTACCCCCCTTGTTGAAATTGCTACCTGATTGCCTAATCCTAACCCCGCCCCTAATCCTAACCCCTACCCCACACCTAACCCTAAACCTACCAATACTAGGGGGGTAATAATCTGACGTGGGTCAGAATTGGGCACAACACCGGCAACTGTCCATCAGCTTCATTAACATCCAATTGGAGTCTTTAGTCACCCTGGTAGCGCTAAATGGCAATGCCAATTTATTAATTAGCCTGCAGTAATAGCCACAATCCACAGCCTGCCCAGGTACCGCAATAGGAATTGCGACGTGATTTGTGACACACCCCACTCGTAAAGGACAGCTCGGTTCCTGCTACAACATTGCCTAAAATCCCTTGCAGCCTACAAGCTTGAGCACAAGCTCCAGGCTAAGGGACATGGTCACTTCGAGCTGGATTTAGGGACAGCAGCGCTGTTCCAGGAACTGTGAAAATGGGACAGCCCTGCAGCGGACTGCTGGAAAGAAATCCCCTCCTCTGACCTTGTGGAGCTACTGTGATTGGTTCGTGGCTGTGTTGAGGGGTTAAGTCCGAAACAGCCGGTTTCCTGCACTGTCCTCTTGTATGTGTGTGTGCGTGTGTGTGTGTCTGTACATGCAGTGGCACAGAGAAGTGTCAAATTTCTTCCTCCCTCTGTTATTCAGTCTCTCACTTTGCACACAGCCAATCCCCATCACCATGGCAACCAGTTCATTAGTGGAGCAAGCTGCAGGTTGCCATAGAAACATCTCAGCAGTCCCTCTGTGCGCTATGGTATGGTGTACGTGTTTCACTGTGATCTTATGGAGAGCATGTGCACTGGAGGGAGTTCTGCTTGAGAGAGGTCATGGGTGTAGTGGACAACTTCACAGACAATTTGGAATATCAAGACATGTGGAGATCACTCACATTTCAGTACGTACAAGTCAAACATCTTGCCTATGCAAGGATATGCAGAATAGTGCACCCAGAAATGAAAAATTCATCATCTTTTATACATGCCTCATGCCTTCCGAATCCCACATGTCTCTTTTTCTTCTGTGGAAGACAAAAGATGTTTATAACAGAACATCCAAGCTGCTTTTTTCCCATATAGTGAAAGTGGATGGTGACCACAGCTGTCAAGGCAAGGCATTTAGTAAATGCCTTCAGAAGACATGGAATTTGTAATCCAAAAGAAAGTCCTTTAGTTTAGACTATTGTTATGGTGGTTTTTTTATGCGAAATTAGCACAAAACAACGGAAACAAGCTGCAACAAAATGGAAACAAGTCACAACACAATGAAATTAGCACAACACAACGGAAAAAAGTCGCAACGCAATGAAATTAGCACAACACAACGGAAACAAGTCGCAACACAACAAAATTAACACAACACAATGGAAACAAGTCGCAAGTTCTCGCAACACAATGAAAACAAGCCGCAACACAACGAAATTAGCACAACACAATGGAAACAAGTCGCAACACAACAAAAACAAACCCCAACACATCGAAATTAGTCCTATGCGTTGTGTTTTGGCGATTTTGTTGTGTTGTGCACTACTGGGCCACCATACTGGACAGCCTCTGGTTCACATCTACTTTCACTGTATGGGAAAGAACAGTGTGAACATTCTTCCAAACATCTCCCTGTTTGTTTGTTAGTGAGTGAACTATCCTTTAAACACTACATGTACAATGCAAATGACTAAAAAAAGGTGCATAACACAGATGTAGACGTGAGTTCATTTGCACCCATGTGATTACAATAATTTTGTTGGAATGATAATCAACCTGGAAAATGATTTATTATAATGATATCTAATTATAGTAAATTGGCAGTTAATCTAAGAGCTATTATTTTCAGGTCCAAACCACAGACTTCTTCACAATGCCATCCTCTCTTATTTTCCTCTGACAATAAGCGTAACATCCTGTGGTGTTTTCAAAGCATTGAGAAACAATTTACAGATAAAAGTTCTAAACAGATTAGCTAATTAAACAAAATGTACCTTAATGTCTTTGCTTGTATCTCCTGGTCTAATTGCTTTATATTGATAAAGATTCTGTTTAAGAGCTACATCTCTCTCTCTCTTGACATTTTCATACTTGTTTTTCTCTGTTCTTTAGCTAATATTCTGTTTTGAGCCCATTACTATTATTCTTTCGCTCTCTACTCTCTCATTAAGCTCGGTGTCAAGAGGTACAGCATTCAGTTAAAGGGGTCATATGATGCGATTTCAATTTTTCCTTTCTCTTTGAAGTGTTACAAGCTCTTGGTGCATAAAGAAGATCTGTAAAGTTGCAAAGACTAAAGTTTCAAATCCAAAGAGATATTCTTTATAAAAGTTAAGAGTCAACCACGCCTACCTAAAATGGCTCATTCTAACACACCCCTACATGTCTACGTCCTGATGTGGGAAGATTTGCATAACGCCGCCCAAATGTTCATGCAAAGAAGGTGTAACTTTTATTCTCGCTGCCGCCATATTGTGAAGACGCTGTATGTTCCGTTGTGAAAGCGAAACTACTGTTTGGCCTTCCAAAAGAGGACGATATCCGCTTCATCATGCCTAGAGCTGATCCGTGTTGGTCGCTGAGGAAATACATAAACTTCAAGCTGTGGATCGCCGGATCGGCTTTCACCGTGGACGAAGCGGAGTCCAGCCACCGCAGATAGCTGGGGAGGAGAGTCTTTAGTTTTTCCGGTGGAATGCAGAGATTCAATCGTTCATTTGTGCGATATTCACAGAGGCCTTACATACAGATGAAGATGACCGAAGACAGATGATGACTGGGGAAATGCAGGTAAGTGAGTCAGGTAAGTGGCTTGTAGTAACAACAACGTGTAGGGGTTACCACCGATGAGACCAGACAATAAAGGAGTGAAGGGCGACTGCTTTTATACTGTAGGTGATGAGGTGAATGGTGGCAGGTGTGCTGATTGGGGATCAGATGCAGGTGTGAAGCAGGCGGGATACTGGGAAATGGAGTCCTTTATGTGGTAAGGTAACTGAGCCGGCGTCTGGAATGGCAAATTTGTGACAGTACCTCCCCCTCCCGGATGGCACGACCCCACCCCAAAAGGAGTCCAACAGGGTTGGGAGGTTGGGTTTCCTGAAGCTGTGGCAGGAAACAGACAGGTAAATAGGGTGGTGCTTGCAGGTTAGGACATCTCCAGGGCGGCATAGGCAACTCAGGGAGCCAGGGAAGCACCGGCCATTCAGGGAGCCAGGGAGGCACCAGCCGGTTGGCAGTTCATGGTGGCGCAAACCGTTCGGGAGGCCATGGAGGCGCCGGCCGTGTGGGAGCCCCTAGGGTGAGCTTTGAAGGGCGCTCTGGAGGAGCGGACACTGAAGGGCCGTCTGGAGCGGGCGACCACCGGAGTACAGGAGTCAAGGTTAGGGATTTGAACTTCATGGAAGGAACGGCTTTCTTGGCCGAGAGTGGGGAATTACTTTCCATAGCAGAAGGAACGGCTCTCCTGGCCGTGACGAGGGGAACTGACAGAACCGCATTCCTGGCCGTGACTGGGGAATTTCTTTCCATTGAAGGAGGAATGGCTCTCCAGGCCGGGACGGGGAAACTTCTTTCGATTAAAGAGGGAACGGCACTCCTGGCCGTGACTGGGGAGCTCAATCTGACTGAAGAAGGAATGGCTCTCCTGGCCGTGATAGGGAAGCTGATTCTTACAGCGAGGGGAACAGCTCCCTGGCCGTGGCAAGGACATTTAATCCGAATAAAGAAGGAACGGCTCTCCTGGCCGTGACGAGGGGACTTAATCTGACTGAAGAAGCAACGGCTCTCCTGGCCGTGATAGGGTAGCTGATTCTCACAGCGAGGGGAATGGCTCTCCTGGCTGTGTCAAGGACATTTACAGTAATTTGACTGAAGAAGGAACGGCACTCCTGGCCGTGATAACCGAATTAGATTTCTTAGAGAGGGGAACTAAAGTTAGTCCTTCACCCTGACTATTCACCCCCGTGTGTCTAGGACTCGGATCATAGGCAGGAGCCTTTACTGGACTCTGGTCTGGGGCTGAAGCCAGCTTCGGACTCTGATCAAGGGCTGAAATGTGCTCTGGCCTGTGCGGGCTCTAGCCCCTGACCAGAGTCCAGTGCGAGCTCCCGGCCCCGACCAGTTTCCAGTAAAGGCTCAAGTCCCAAACCAGAGTACAGAGCATTCTGCAGCCCTCGACCAGGGTTCAGTGTCGGCCTTAGCCTCGGAGCAAGGTCTAATGTCGGCTTCAGCCCCTGACCAGAGTCAAGTGCCGGATTCAGCCCCCGACAAGTGTCCAAAGCAGGCTCCAACCCTGACCAACAACTCATCTTAAAATCAGTGAATGTTTACATGGTGTGTTCAATAAGGACATAGAAACGTATAATTGTGACTTTATTCTGTGATATTTTTTAAGTAACATACAGAAACTAATTATGGAAATACCACTATTTCAATAAATTAGCATGAAAATATGTTCAAAAATATAACTGTTCCCAATGATAAAAAGTAAATAATTGCTGTAATTTGAAACTGTCTAATATGCAAGCATTATGTGGTGTTGTAGTCTTACTAAAGTGTTTACACGTGTTTGACTGGTACAATGTTTCATGTAACCCTCCATGTGTCTCTCTCTCATTCTAGCAGCTCCCTCAGGCCCGTTTCTGCAGGGCAAGAGCAGGGGGGATTAGTAGACTTTAATGAGATCTATAGGGAAATAACCTTCACTGCCTCCTCCTACTCCTCTATCTCTCTTTCTCTCTTTCTATCACTGCCATCTTCATGACCAGTGACCACTCCCATCCCGTCTAGTCTTCACAATAACACATACTTATCATTTTCAACCATCTTCCTTTTCCACTGGAAAAAAAATGTTTTCTAACTCAGTGTTTTTGACATTGGCAAACAGTTTTTATAAAGCATACATCTAATCTAGATTTTTTTACATTTACAAAAGATTTCTGTTTCGAATAAATGCTGTTCTTTTGAACTCTATTTATCAAGATTCCTGGAAAAAAATTGTATCATGGTTTCCAAAAAGAAGCTGTTTTTAACACTGATAATAATAAAGAAATGTTTACTGAACACCACATCAGCAAATTAAAAAGATTTCTACGAGTCATATGACACTGATGACTGGAGTAATGATGCTGAAAATTCAGCTATGAAATCACATGAATAAATTACATTTTAAAATTATAAAAAGTATAAAAATAAAAGTTATTTGAAATTGTAGTAACTATTTTGCAATATTTCTGTTTTTACAGTATTTTTGATTAAACAAATGCAGCCTTGGTGAGCAGAAGACACCTCTATAAAAAACATTAAAGGGGTCATGAACTGCCTTTTTATTATTTTGTACTGTTCTCTGAGGTCCACTTATGTTTTTCAAGATTTTTACATCAAAAAAACATCATCATTTATAAGTAATAGATTACTCACACTTGATAAAATAGTTACTCACACTTGACTAAAATAGTTACTCACACTTGATGTGAGTGGTGAGACATTACTGTTGAATCCAACATAGTCGGCACAGCATTGTCTTTTAGTTCCAATCTTTCGGAAAATCCCACGTTGAATTGTGATAAATAAAGTTAATCAAATAAAGTTTATTGTTTGGTTTATGAATAGATCTGCGTTTACTACATGCGTGAATTGGTGGGCAGGGCTAAACAGGCAGTGATGTAGAAGCAGGCGTTGATCTTCTTCTGCGGAAGTGCTGTTTAGCCACACTATTACATCATAGAGTAGAACATTCCACAACCTGTTAGCAGATTGGCTTCAATATAAGCTGTTTTTAGATTAACGAGAAAGTTTTGAGTTCTGAAACGTACAGAATATTTTTATAGCATATTGACCTCTTATATATACGTATATCAAAAGATCAAGGGAATTTAGATTTCTCAGTTAATGACCCCTTTAAGATAAATAAGCAAAATACTGTTAAAGTCTCTTTTTTTCACTTTAGCAATACTTTCCCTCCCTGACTTGTCCTATTCTCTTTCCATGCCTCTCCCTCTCTTTCTCCCTCCATCTTTACTTCTTCACTGTTGCCCCCAGCTCTCTCAGCGATCGCTGGTTCATAGAGCTGCAGGCAGACTCTGTGGTTAATGAGTGTGAGATGTGGGGTCGCTCTGATAATGCCCTGATGCCCCTCAGGGTTCAGCGCCCTAGACTGCAAACACATCTGTTTCACTATTTCTATCACTTCATACGGTTCCTATATAGTTTGTGATAATACTAATACATTTCAATGTTCGATTTCAAGTACATTTTGTACGATAAACAATTCTAGTTCTGTTTTGGGTCACTGCTTGATGTCTGATGGCAAATCTGTGTCCAAAAGCATTTAGTGCATTACGGGGTGAGTGGGCATTCCCGCGGCCCTACATTTGCTCGGTTGTGTTTGCACACCTCCTGTCTCTCCCCGAACTCATTAAACCACAATTAACGAGCAATTGCAGTTTATTGAGGGTGAATTAGCTGGTATGTAGAGCAGGCCTAATGTACTGGGATTATGCAGATGCATTACTCCACACAGAAAAAACAGAGAGAGACTCATAAAAGGACATGGTTTGAGGCAAAAGAGAAATCAGGAAGACATAGGAGAGAAAGACATGAAAGAGAATCTCAAAGACAGACGAAACGTATTATAGGCATTTTTAATAAAATAACATTGACAGCTTTCCACACCTGACTGCCTTCTTTAAAGGGGTCATATGATGCTGCTAAAAAGAACATTATTTGGTGTATTTGGTGTAATGAAATGTGTTTATGCGGTTTAAGGTTAAAAAAACACATTATTCTAGCGGCTTGTTAGACTAAATAGGCAGCTTGGAATAACTGGAACAAAGAAAATTCCACTCATTGTCTCTCCCTTCCACTTGCACACAAACTTCCCCCTCACAAACACACACACACTAATGCACATATGCACACCTACATTAATTATACAATCCCACATTGGAAGAGTAAAAAAGCAAGAGCAGATACAGTTCAGTTTTTACAAACACTGAGAATAAAAAGAGAAAAATAACAAAAAAAAATTGACGAAACCTTCCATATGCTCCCTCATCAGGCATGTCCAAATCCATTGTTTGAGTAACATCCATTCTACTAAAATGCCTCCATCTGGTCAATATTTGAATGCAGATATCCCACAATCCTGTGCGTGTGGTTTGGCAGTTGGTTGCAAGAATAAACATGCTTTTCAACTGAGTGATTGAAACAAATGAATTTGTAGATGACAAGATTGTTTTTTCCCCCTAGAAAAATTATTACTTCAATTATAAATTACCTAGAAAGTCTCTAAATATTTGCTTGGTAATTTCGAACAGCTCACAATAACTATTTATATTATGTATAAATTGGTGTTGATCTACTTCCGGCTTCGCTATTGTTCGGACGCTCTTGCTTACTGCTCTGCGCTTTGCTCCCTGTTTATGTACTTTACTCAGATTTTTCTAAGATTTTAACTCAGCAGATCAGCACAGTGCTCAAACAAGCATCTGCCATTTTTGGCAGAAACACTAAAACTAAAAACTTTACGGGACTGGAATAATACTACGAAAAAGAAGACCCTTTGCCTCCCACTGCCAGCAGCTTACATTCCGGAGATGGGAAAACACAGCTGCCTACATTCAGACAACAGATGAGAAAGAAAATGCCTCTTGTGGAATCTACTTGCTGCATGAACTGCCACAAACTTCTACAAAGGATTGCGGTTATGAAACAAAGTTACTTGCTGGACTTCCAAAACAGGCGGAACACACAGCAGATCGTCATCACGGACCCCCTCAGCATACAGCTGGTGAGTCCTGTGAATATCAACATTTATACCAAGTGTAGAGGAGCAAGCCGAAACTGATCAACAGACTAATCGATCGACTAATCGGCACAAACAGGCAGCGAGACCCAAAGGCACTCGAGACATCAGATTGTCACGAGTATGTCGTATTGCTGCGGTAGCATCCTCTACCCACAGATACGGCTATGACAAGGCCTGCAAACACTGGTATTCTACCACCCCCTATACAGCTTGAGAACAGATTTGAAGCATTAATGAATGTGGGTGAGGAATAGGGTTGCAAAAAGGTGGACAATTTCCATTAAATTTCAGAAATATTCCAGAAATTTTGGAAACTTTCCAGGATTTTTTGGAATATTCCAGAGATTTTTTGAAAGCTTCCAGAAATTTACCAGAAATGTTCCACCCCTTTGCAACCCTAGTGAGGAATCCCCAAATGTGACTGAACATGGATCGTATCAGCCAGCAGCTAACATCGCTACAAACAGGCGCTCAAGGTTGTGCAGACAGTGGCATTCAGCTCAGAGTGCAGATGAGCCCAGGACTCTGATAATGGGTGACTCCTTTATCAGAAACATCAGTAGCAGGACTACAACTACATGCTGCTTTCCTCAAGAAACCATCTCTGATGTAAACAAGGAACTTCTGAACATTCTAATGAAGCATAAGACTGCAAATTGATCATCCATGTGGGGAAGAAGGATATTCGGAAAGAGCAGTCAGAACTCCTTAAGAAGGATTTCAGTGAATTCCTTGAAAAACTTTGAAGACTTGAAGTTCAGTTGTTCATCAGTGGACCACTCCCAGCAAGCAGAACTAACATGTTTTCACGGTTGCTTGGGCTGAATACATGGCTACAAAGAACCTGCAGTATAAAAGGAGTCAACTTCATCGACAACTTTAATCTTTTCTGGGCCCATAGA